GGCTTAACTATCCCTACGACCACCTGCCGCCTGCCACTAGTTTTGTAGTTGGAATTTTCTTGATTCTTGATTACTTTTGTTTGAGTTTTTATTGGTAGTAGTACGAGTAGTAGTAGTAGAGTATTATCGATCGAGTGCTACACTTCGATATAGTATTAGTGATATAATGATACGTGTACGAGATTACTTTATTGTGGATTCTCCTCTTCGGCCGATGCCTGCTCTATTTTTGATATTCGCACTGCCGCGAGTGCCTCATCCATGCGCGTCTCGAGAAACATTTCCTCGGCCTCGGATGGCGTCTCACTTATGTCGATATGCTCCTCATCGTACTCCTTAAGCTTATCAACTTGACTCTTTTTACCTTTTTGTATTTTGGCAGCAGCCAAATCGCCATGCTCCGGTCCCTTTTTGCCCACTACACAAACAGTAGAAAAGAGTTTACAATTTGGGGGTGCAATTTTCCATAAAGTTTAAGGTGGAAACTTACACTTGAAAACTTTGCCGCCCTTGACACGTTTTCGGGCTAAAAGTGCACGCATCATGGACTGCACTTTGATGACTTTCTTCACTTGCAGCTCGTAGTTTCTGGGGAGTAGACAAAATGCATTAAAAGATGTCTCAGAAGAAGGTTTAGTCCGGGGTATGCTACCTGGCCAAGAACTCATCGTTGTAGTAGCGCAAAAAGACTTTGGACTTGCCCAGAGCCCAGCCCTCCATCTTGAGGCGTAAGAATAATAAACGACAATTCTCTTTGGTCATTTCCACGGGCTCATCAAAGTCAAACGCAAGGAATTGATAGCTGTAAGGATATCGTATTTAGAGTCATGATAAAGTCAAGAGAATAATTTCTCCCACCGTCTCAGGAACTCATCGAAGCCCAGTCGAGAGCTGTAACCCTTTTGCCTGGCAATAACCGTATCGAGAACACCCAAAGCCTTCATCTGTTGCTGCACCACGTCCGAGTGGAAGGCACGCGGCTTGTACTCCAAATCCGCGCGTATGCAACGCACAAAGTGCACTCCCAGACTGGCATTTTGGCTGAGCATTTTGAGCAGAGTCAGGCAGGTGAAGCGGAAATTGGCCGACAAAGTGCGCAAATTGTTCACCTGTGAGATGCAGCCAGCACTCAGTGTGTTGAGGGCCTAAACGGAGGAATATTTGATAGAGTAATGTTTGGAGTTTTGATCAGGTTTAAACTCACATAAGACTTGCGCTCTGTTTCATCCTTATGCTGGACAGCCTCAAAGGGCATTGTTAGATTGCCAGCTTTGGTCAGTTGATTGGTGAACATGAGCATTATGCTCTCGTCCAGCGAGGAGCGGAAAGTCTCAATCATTTCCGGTGGCACAAAGTCACGATTGATGTCGGTGAAGGAGCGAGTATCGTAGATGATGCGCCCCGTATAATGGGCAACGGATAGCTCAGTGGCAGTGTGCTTCTTCACAAACTGGCTGTGTTTCTCCGAAACGCGATCTGATGCGAGAAATCAGCTGCAATTACAAGAGGTTTATATGGGTAAACTCACCCATAATCAAGTCCTGGTCCTGGCAAGAGCGTGAGGCATCGTCAATGATGTAGAAGAGGCCATCGGGTTTGGTCAGCAGATTATCCAGCGCCGTCTTGTTGTCATAGAAGTTCAGGTTGATGGTGTCTATATCCTCGGCCTCCATTTCCAGCATTTCACTGATGAAAATGCGCTGATTGTAGTGGTATTGCATCTGCTCATTCAGCGTGTTGATCATCAGCTGCTCCATGCCATTCCGATTGAAGCACTCAAAGCCGAACATGTCATGGATAACTATGGCATTAGAATCGCCACTAGGGAAAGGGATTAAAGATAGTTTTTGTGTTTCTTTTATAGTCTATTTTGTGACTTACAAGACTGCTCTGGGAAAGGACATGTTCATGTTGATCCTGTTGATAATAAAGTCCACCAATCGGGAGTAAATGGTGCTGGCCACAGCATCGCGTGCATCGCGCGCCTCCTCCGAGGTGTACTGCCGCCGCTCGGCCACACCGCCCTTGACCATTATAAAGTTGGTCAAGGACCACATGAACTTCTTCTCATCGACGCGGAGGAGGTCGGCAATGCGCGACACAATGTCCGTGTTCTCCACCTCGGCATATTTGCCGGATGGCCGGAAGCGAATGTTGCCAATGTTCAGGATGGCAGCCAGCACCTTGCGCACCGTCTCCAGCTGCTTGTGGCTAAAGTCCAGATCCCTGAGGATGTTCTCGAACTCGCGGAAGTGCTCCACATTGCCCTCGGGATCGTCGCGCCGATACTTGATCTTGGTGGGCGGCGCATCTGGTGGCACGCGCAGATAGCGATAGTTGCGATCGGCTTTCAAGTTGTAGTCCTTCAGCTGATTCTGCTGGTTGATGAAGTCGTAGAAGTAGTAGAAAATGTGGAAGTTGTGCTGGGTGCCATCACAGGTGGCCACGCGCAGCTTCTCCAGCATGTACATGTTGAACACGGCGCCACTCATCTTGCCCGTCTTGCCGAAAGTCAGGCAGTACTGCAGGACACAGCGGGTGGAGTCGTTGTTGACGGGTGTGCCGGCATTCACCATCATCAGTATGGCCTTGATGGAGGTCTCCACGCGCCCGGTGGCGCCTCGATTGCCAGCACCCAGAAAGCACAGATGCTTGATCAGCAGTCGGGCATTGGTGGACTTGCCCGAGTAGCTCTCCCCGGACAGCACAATGTGCTGGGGCTCGCGATGGTGCAGCATGTCCTGGTAGGCAATGTCAGCCACGGAGAAGATATGCGGCTGGTTCTCCGAGCGCGACTTAAAGCGGTACTTGGCATGGAACTGCGGGGGAATAGACTTTAGGCTGAGACAAGAGAAGCAACAAAGAGCAAACCTACCTCCGGTGGGAATTCACTTGGCAGCTCATTCGAGTTCAGGGACAGCAGAATGTCGCCTATGAAGCTGAACGATTCACCCGTCATCATGCGATTCCGCAGCGAGTCAATGATGCTCTCATCTACGGGATTCTCCAGTGCAGCCAAATCCTCGGGATACATGCGCTCCGGCTTGCCATCGAAGCGCTTGATGTAGCCGCGATCCACAAAGAGTTCGGGCTCCTTGTAGAGGTTCTTCACGTCCCTCGACAGCTCCAGCATTTCTGCGAGATCCGACTGCATCTCTTCCTCGTTCTCGATGAGCTCCGTGAGGAAGGGATGCTCAACCATCTCGACCATCATGGGACGATTCTCGGCATTCTTCTCCAGGCACTCGGCCACAAAGTCGTTGATCTGCTGGGACCAGTTCGTGGGTCGCATCAGTGTCGGCGGCGGATTCCGCACGATCTGGAACATGGCCCGCGTGGGATGCATGTCCGCAAACGGCGGCTTGCCATCGGCCAACTCAATGGCGGTGATGCCCAAAGCCCAGACATCTGCCCGCACGGTGATGTCGGGCTCCCGGGACTCCATGGCGGCCACCACCTCGGGTGCCATCCAACAGGGCGAACCAATGCAGGTGCCCCGCTTGCCCAGTGTCGAATCCACTTGCCGGGACAGCCCAAAGTCGCAGAGCTTCACCCGTCCGTTCTTCGTCAGCAGAATGTTGTCGCCACGGATGTCCCGATGCAGGACATGATTGCGATTCAGCTCGATGGCTGCCCGGCACGTCTCCCGGATGATGTAGGCGATGTGCTCCTCCCTCATCCTGCGGTCCAACTTCAGCAGCTTGTTGACCATGTCCACGGCGGTTCCGCCAGCACAGTACTGCAAGGATTACATTGAATCAGGACTCTTGGGGACACTCTACTCCCACACTCACCTCCAAGACGAACCAAATCTCATCGGGTCCATTCGGCTTCGACAGCTTGTAGACGCCATAGAACTCGGGCAGATTGGGATGTGCACAGTAGTCGCGGAGCGTGCGATACTCCTCCTCGATGGACACCTGATGCTCCTCATCGTAGTGCTGTATCTTCAGTGCCACCAGACGATCGTTCTCCAGTTCCTTGGCCCGAAATACTTTGGCATTGACACCTTGGGCTATCTCCTCATAGATCTCGAATTTATCCGTTGGATCCGGCAATTGCGAATATGGCAAATACATCCTGACTCAGTTTCCTTTTCCTTCAACGGTTGAACAAGAACTCTGTGGGATTGTTAATTGGTTTAAAAATGCAGAAAGAGCTATTGAAAAATTAGGTTTTGGGGTTCCGGGTCTGCATTGTCAGGGCTTCGCTTTGTTACGCAAGAACTGAAGAATGAACTGGGTTGGAAAGGGGCTTGCCTTGGCATATTTATGGGAGATACTTATAGAGGAGTGAAATAAAATCCATAAGAATTTTACTTTCGCTTCAATTGGAGCTCAAAAGTTACAGATACAAGAAAATTGGAAGAGCTTTAGTGGGAATATCCTCTAGTTCCTTCTCGAATCACTTCACTTGGTTTAGGTAATTGTTTTCTATCCAGCTTTTCAGTAACTTTCCAACTTTTCAACACTCTTCACATAATCCTTGATCCTTTAGCTCACACAGACCTCTGCTATTCCCTTGGTAGCTTGATAGTTATGTTGGTGTGTTTTTCCAATTAGAATTCCGAACCGACCGCACGCATGCAGCACGTATCGCTGCCGTAAGCCAACTAAAGGCTGGTCAAATGCATTCGCTGGTTTTTTACTATGGGCCTATCCACTCAAGGAAGGCAGGAAGCCCCGCAATCTCGATGCAGGCAGGCAGTAGCCAGCAGTGGCAACAGAAAACACCTTGGGCAACTATTTAGTCGACTAATTCAATTAGCATTGTCGACATTCACGTGCAGACCAAAACAACAAAACGTGGGGGAAAAGCTGGAAAACCGATTGAAACTCAGCTGATTGACAGACTAATTATGCATCTTATTATTTGTATTTACAAAATATATTTATATATTTTTATATATTTCAAAATGTCTTGAGATTGCTAAACTAATCATTGAATTTACACATTTCAATTATCGTTTTCGATTTTATGGTGGCCCTATAACATATTCTTTATTGTTTAATACTGATTCGTGTTAAGTTTTGTTTTGTTTAGATTGAAGAAAAGTCTTTTCTTATGTGATCGCTGGGGCGATCGGTTGTCCTTCTCAATTGCATATACTAATCCACTCCTCCACGTGGCACTCCTCGCACTCCACGCTACAGCACCATTGAAATTTACAGTGGCAACGCTCGGCACGTCGCTCGATGATTTGGCTGTGGCCACGCCCACAGCAGAGGGAGGCGCACCCATCGCTGGTTGTTGTATTTCGATTGCATTTGCGACCCACTGTGCCTGGAATTAAAAAGATAGTGCGAGGGGAGGGAAGTTAGAAATTGAGTTGAGGTTTGGTTAAAATGTTTCCTAAGTGAAAGGACTCTCAATAATACTTATTGGAGAGTGCACTTTCACTTAATATAATAATTATATGATACTAGTTGTCATATCTCTTTTTAATTTGCCTTCATTACAATTTGACTAAGTGACAGCTCCGTCGCTGCAGGCGACTATGGGCGACTATTAAAACTCCATAAATAAACTATTAAACTAAGGCCTATAAACAAAGTATTATAATTGTTGTACGGACGATAATTGCCAACGTTAATTGCCATCATTTGCCTAGACACGACACGACGTGGCACACGGGGCACATGAATCAAAACGCCCAAAGGGGATGGAGCTCGGACGACGATTAATTATAAATTTGCGTCGTAATTAACACTTTTAAACTGTTTCCCCGGCGTGGAGCGGACTTTGATAATTTGCAAATGTGTCAACAGCAAAAATGGCCAACAAAAATTGCAAGTGGCACTTAGATGTGGACGTGCCGAGCCGAGCCCCAAAACCCGAGCCACATCTCAACAGATCAGCGTTGATCCAAGTTGATCCGAGATGGAGCTGAAATGCTGAGGCTGCTGTGCGGCGCATGGGTCGTCGCTGTCTGTGGGTCGCAACATTTTGCTGTTGTTGTTGCTTTTGTTTGTTGTTTTTGCTGAGTTATGTGGCATGTTTTGGTAGCTCGTTTATAAATCGTTTTTCTCTTTTTTTTTGCTTTTTGTTGCTGCATTTTTGCTGCTGCTGCTGCTGCGGTTGCTGTTAATTTGCATTTGTGATTTATTTATTAGAGCCAAATCAAATTTATCGCTCGAGTCGTATCTATAAATCATTTTTAATTAGTTGAACCAAATTTGACGACAACAAAACTGAAAATTAACCAACTAATGGGTAATGGGAGCTGTCGGGTTTGTCAGCCTAATATTTCCATTCAAAGTCTCCAAGCTACAACTAAATCAGCTCATTCATAGTGGCGCAGCCTAGCGCGAAGCCACATTAACTGTTTATTCTTTGCACTGCAAACTGACACAGGAACATATGTGTGTATGTATGTATGCATGTACGTATGTACATATGCATGCATTGTCAATCGCATAAGCTTACGAGCGACAGCGGCCGTTCTTTCGTCTATCTATCCCGCCTTCTTCGTACGCGGCTTAGCAGCCCCAAACTGTTCTTACGCTCTCCCTCGCTTCTTTCGATCTCTCTCCCGCTTGCATTAGGGCACGGGTAATTTGGTGCGCCTGTATTTAACTGTAAATCTTTATCTCGTCATCATTAACGCACTCACTTTCTATCGACTTGTTTTCGATCAGCAGAAATAATGGTCAATGAGATAATGTTCAAAGACTCACCCTGTATATCTGCTCCCAGATCCCGCTCGCAAAAGTTGGGCGAGCGCTGATAGTAGAACAGGGATGTCTCCAGCTTGCGTGCCATTCGTGCCGCATTTTTATCAGAGTTTGGCTGACGCGTGCCACGCACCGAGCCGAGATCATCGTGCCGCCTCGTCCCGTGATCGCCCGCCGGGCCATCGAGCGTGCCAGACGCATCGACGGCATCCATGTCGGAGGACGAGGAGCCGGAGCTGCTGCCACTGTTTGACTTTTTGTTGCGGGAACGCTTCAGCACAACGACGGGCTCGCCATTCCCCAGATTCGACTGATCCACGAGTATGGCCTTACGGAACTGATGCTTCAGCACCTTGCCGACAACATGGAAGTCGGGGGCGGACTTCCAGCAGGTCTTCAGCTGACAGCTGCCGGACATGCCGTGGCACTTGCAGCGGAACTCCATGTTGTTCGAAACGGCCTGGAAATGCATAGGAGATTAGGAAGATGGAAAATGGAATGCTGGAATGTTGAAAGGACCCACCACTCTGCCTGCATGATTGTTGTGCAGATTGATCTTTGACTGGATGTCGCCCGCCTTCTCGCGGCAGTCGAGAAAGAGCTTGGAGTACTCGACACCAAAGTCCATGTTGTGGGAGCAGCCGCCCCACTTCCAGCGGCTGGCGATCTTCGAGCGTTCGTACTTCTTCTCCTCCTCGGGTGTTAGAATCTGGTTGGTCTCCAAGTACTGCAAGAATTGCTTCTTCTCCTTGTCCAGCGACTGGCGGAGGTTCTTGTTGAGGGTCTTCCGATTGATGGTCGGATCACAGCCGCAGGACATCAAACGGCCTTGACTGCAGGCCCTCGCCACGCTGTGGGCCACCCCGGCAGCCGAAATGGCAAAAGCAAACGCACTCTCCCTGTAGCCTAAAAGCAAAGAAATATTTCTTCATGATGGCCATAAAGTGGGAGACGCTTCCACCCCTGGGGAATCATTCGATTGGATTGGATTGGATTGGATTGGGGGGAAACTATCGCAATTTATGCGGTGTTATTTTTAACGCTGCATTCGAAGCAGCGGTGGGCCGCTCTGGGAATATCAGCGGCATTTCGACTTTGACATGGTCTGGACAAGCGTTCAACCAGGCCACCAGATCGTTTTTAATGATGCAGTGCAGTGTGCCGCACGAGTGCGCTGTGTCCACTGTATCCACACACCCACAAGAGAGACACAGAGGGGGTGAGAGGTAGACAGAGAAGGAGATTTGATATTTGAAATGCCTTATGCAGCAAAAGCAACAGCAGCTGTCAAATGGCTGTCAAAAAGTTGACGTTAATCATGGCCGACATGGCCATGAGTGGCCCCAAAGTTGGCAACATTTGTCAAGCGATTGACATGCAAATTGTCAGCGCCACTTTGCATAAAACCAAACTCAATTCAATCCCAGATCAGAGCCCAAACAAGAGACCAGCGACAGTACATATGTCAATGTGACAGGCTTGCATCATTCTCGGGCGGGCCCCCGGACGAACACTCCTCTGCTCCGCCTCAGCTGTCAAACAATCAGTCAGTCAAGCCGGCCAGTCCGTCACTCAGCTCGGGATGCGCACGAATGCAAATGTCAATGTTGTGACAAGTTGTCGTGCCAATCCGGATCCAGCGATCCACCGATCCACCGATCCATCGATCCATCCATCCATCGATCGTTCTAAACTGCAATCGAAGGTGGAAGTGCAATGGGAAATTGTATGTGTGTATAGCGCGCATTTGATTGACGATTAAGACGCCATCAATCAATGCATCAGTTCGAACAGTAGCCTCGCCAAAAGTCCACCCCACCCCAAGACCAGCTCAGCTCCTGCTCTTCCCCTTCATCTGTGCGGATCTCTGCCAACTTGTGATTGCTGATCGCTGATCGCTGATCACGGACTTGATTTATGCACGCTTTGTCTTGCCCCTCGTCGAGCCATTTGCAAATCCAAATCACATCATTGCCAACAGTTACATTTGACAATGCCTTGGGGTCTCTCTCTCTCTCTTGCCCTCTCTCTCTCTCTTGCGCATAAATTGGCAACAAAAAGCGATCGAGGAGAGACTTCGCTGGACGCTGGCTTGGCTTGGCTTGGCGACCTGTCTCTGTGGCGACCAAGTCTACAGTCTACAGAGTACCCTGTCTCCAATGTCTCGTTGTCTGCCGTGTGTTGCAATCCCAAGTAATTGTTTGCGACATACGTCGCTCGCTTGTTGTCACATGCATTTGGCTGGAACCCAGAGAGAAACACACAGAGAGAGCTGTAGAGAGAGAGAGAGAGAGAGAGAGAGAGAGAGAGAGAACTGCCCGAAGATAAAGGTCGATCGTCGATCTTCAGTCGTACGTAATCCTTTTACTACTTTTGTGCCTCATGCCCCATCCTCAGTTGATTGACAATAATGCATGGTAGCAGCAGCAGCAACCAAGATCAGCGATCTGCAACGACGATCTCTCAACGACGATCGACGATCGACGAGTTCCATAAGTTATAGTAGATACGAGTATGTATGCAAAATAGTTGACCTGTCCGTGCGCCGTTTCGATTGTCAGTCATTGTGCGCGGACTCGACTCGAATCGACTCGGCGACTTGATTTGTTTCGTTTCACTTGGTTTGCTCCAAGCGATCGCTGGCCCGATCTCTGTCCATCGATCCCTGACTTTGTGGCTGCCTTTTGTGCCCTTATAAGTCGTACCTCGTCGTCGTTGCACGCGTTGCTGTTGCCTGTCAATATTGACTCTCGTTATGTGCAGTTCCTTCCTTATTTAATGGACGCACGAAACGGACGGGTTGACAAACGGACAGTGGACACTGGACAGTGGGACATTGCGACATTGGTACACTGGGACAGACGTACGATCCTCAGACATGTCGGTGACATAAGCCTGCGTTTACCATATTCGATATTGGATGAAGGCTAGTCGAGAGTTACTTGGAAGTGCTGCTGGTGTGGCATGCATTTGGAGATTTATGGTTTAGCATTGTTTTGTGGCAATGTTGTTAACTTTAACTTTAACTTTAACCTGCTCGTTTCTGTCTGGCATTTGGACCGATCATGATGGCCCACTCAAGATTGTGGCAGCGGCAGCGGCAGCGGCAGCGGCTTTAGCCCCAAATGCAAATAATATGCACAGAATTTGCTGTAATGGAAGTATTTGTGGGCACAAATGAAGCACCAGAACCACTAATACTTATTGCTGGCCAAAAGATTCCTCAGCCTCAGCCTCCAACATAATCACATCACTGACTGGCTGCTGGCCCAGCCAACGACAATGAAAATGACAATGACAATGTTGGGACGGCAATGGGATTGTGTGCATCCGTATTCGATCCGCTCCCATGGCTGTCTTCCAGCCCATTCGTTCCCGATCCCGTTCCCGCTCCCATTCCCCTTTTCCACTGTACGTTGTCAGCGGCTGCGGCAGCATCCGTCAACGGAGATAACAATTTTTTAAATTGAAATTGAATGAAGTGGTTTGCTTACAATATAATTTATACGATGAATGCAAATAAATTACGCCGGACTTTACGGCCAGACCGAAACGAGATGAGCACCAGCTCTCAGTCCTCAAGCCTCTCCCTTTTACTTCAGAAGTCTCTTCTGTGGCTCCTGTTTTGCTCTTGTCCGAATGTCGCATTGAAATTTGTGAGAAATCTCTTGAACAACGTCAGCCATACACTCGTACTCGTATATCGTTTGCATCTGGATTGCCATGCCGCCATTTTGAGCATTTCCCATTGTAGTTTCCTTTCCTTTGGCTCCCCTTTTTTTTGGTTTCGTTATTTTTACAGCTCTTGTATGATGCATAGTTTAACTAATGAAGCATTCTGTTTAGGGACTGCAAAACATTCGCATAGAAGTGGCAAATTCCTCTACCATATATAGAGGAAAATAATTTAGTTGCATATAAAATGGAAGAATGAAATAGGAAGCCAGAAGGGGAATGCTCGTACCCATTGATAATTGTATGATTAAAACGTAAAATTGTTTCAATGAGCCACAACAAAAGGCAGTCACACGTGCCTTTATGGTTTGGAAATACTCAAGTAAATTAATTTTCTGATTATGAAATGTTTGTGTATTCCGTAGAGTCGAGACTTATTTCAGAATGTAAAACAAGCATTATCTCAATGAACATTGCACACATTTAAACAGTATTATTAATACATTTATTGCTAAATTTTACTCCATGCATGTTGCCTCACATTCACGCTGGGATTCGAAACGATTTTCGTTGCCACCGCAGCCGCCCCAGATGAACCTGGTGCATACCCTGTTCGCCGCATCGTAAGACCAGCGGCGCATGGCAGCCCTGCAAAGTCCTCGCTGGGAATGCGGAAGTTCACAGACATCTGCCAGAATAGAGGGTAAACCTTTAGTGGCAGATAAGAGGGAAAACTCAAGGAGACAGACCGATTTTTGGACCCAGACCCACGCCCATCGAGCTGGCTGTAAGAGCAGCAAACACTAGCAGGATCAGCAGGAGCTTCATGATGGGATGTTGAGAGGCTAAGAGATGGCAGTTAACTGAATTTAGCTGAGGCAACAGTCTATATATTTATACTGAATGCGTTTAGTTGCTCATATAGGAAGTCAACAGCAAGAGGGGAGTCACAACAGTACAATGATAATGGGTAGAATGATAACAATAAACCCCTAAAGAATATGTTCTACATTGATTCCAGATTCCATTCTCCATTGAGAATAGCCCAGTTCTTGGCGAAATTGGGTTGCGAAAAGTACAATATGGAACTTTTATCGTATAATTTTGTTAATTTTGAAACGAAATAATTTCCGAGTTAATTATGTCAAACATTCAGAGTAATTGTAAATCATGTAAAACATCTAACCCTTCAATGAGTCATAACAAAAGTCTGTTAGAAATGTAAGCGCTAAAGCCGAAAGCCTTGCAACTTTGCACAAAACTAGAGAGAGAGATCGGCGCCTGTGATCAGAGTTCCCGCTACTTGTTGCTTGGCCAACAAAAGCGGCTTAGAATGCGGCATGCTCTTTGTAGATGCCCCACCGTTGGCGATGTCGCAACGCCACGGGTGAGTGTGTGAGATCTATCCGTCATAAGGCACACGCCGCACAGGCAACCGGCAGCAGAGGTTTGCCAGAGCCACTCGTAATACAATGCCTCGAGGACAGATTAAGATATCAAAGTCAAAGTTCGTATCGCCGCCGTTTCAGATGCACCGGACTGTGACAAAACGATGGACTGGACCCCAAGCCCAAGTCGCAGTCGCAGTCTCAGTCAACACTCCTACTGGCAAAAACATAGAAATTTGATCTAGTCCGGGATCGTTGTGGGGGCATTAGAAACTGTAGATGCTCCTGCTGTGGCTTTTATGCCATGTCGTGTCTAATAATGCGACGGTTAATAGCTTTGGACATTGTCTGCTTGACCAAATGTCTACCCGCTATGGGCAATTTTAATTAGACTCTTTGCCTAGCGGTTTGCGTGTGGGCCGACAATGTGTCCTCTCCCCTAGTCCCCCACTCGACTCTCTACCGCAAAACCCGTTGACAGTTGACTTTGGCCATAAAGCGATTTTGTTTGCGTGAAAGCTGAGCCACGCTTACTGCACATTTTAGTGTCAGCTTAATGGCTTTTGGCCATGGCTACCAGAGGCGGCCAGAACCTGGGAACTTTTCCTCCTTTTCTTACCTTTCTTCAGCAGATTGGAGGCATGCGGATTGCGGCTCTTCGTGCTCAGCGATGAGCAGTTCCAGCGATGCCATTGAAACTGTTCAAGAGAGAAAATATACCATAAATAAATGAGCATTTGCAGGATGGTCTTGTAAGTATGCTATGGAGTATGCTTTTCGGTCGAGAATTGCACCTGTATTTGACATTCACGTATGGCCATATCGAGTCCTTCGAGTGCTGCTGCTGTCACATCACTCGCCTTGTAGCAGAGCTCCACTTGATCCTTGGTGAGACCAGGCACTGAACGGCAGGTGGCACGACCATCGGGTAAGCCATAGAGCCTGGAAGAAGCCAAAACATTTTCAAATATTAGAACAGATTTTTACCATGAGAATGTTTCCCATGTTTTAGCTTCCCAAGAATCTCCTTTCCAGCTAAAGTTTCGAGTCCTCCATCTTGGCAAAGCTCAAGCATTGCTGAGAATTTCAATTCCAATCAAATTTTAATTACAGCCACCACAGTTGGCAATTAAACTCGAACCAAAAACTGGAGCCAACGAAAGTAATTAACCTTGAGGTTCGGCGCACACAAACCGCAGACAAGACACAAACCCCAAAAATACTCCGAGAGTAAAGTAATTTAATTTTATTTATTTACTTTTTGTTGTATTTTGGTTTCACTAGATTTGAAATTAAATTTGCTTCAACAGATTTAATCGGGGAGACACGAACCCCAAAGACAGTAGACAGACAGTAGCTGAAAATATAATTTCTGTGGGCAAGTTTGTCATAAATCTTTTTTGAAATTGCTGAGCGATGAATCACTGGCTCATCATTCGTCGCAAGAAGCTTCCAAAAATTGTGCGCTTGATTCTTTTAAATATGAAATAGACCAAAGGGGTCTGTACTGTAAATTATATTCCCAGGTCTCTGTGGCTCTGAACTCATTTAAGAGCGCGCCATGGCATTCAAGGTCAGATTGGGTTGAGCTGAGTTGAGTTGAGGTGTTCAGATCTTGGGCCAGAGATACAGATACGAGTTTCTTGTGTGTGTGTGTGTATGTGTGTGTATGGTGTGCGCTTGAGTGAGTGCCAGTTGACGTTGGACAACTTCATCGAGTCTGTGGCAGTGGCTGTGGCTGTAGCTGGGATCTCAGACCATTGCCACATCGCACATTGCATCGCAGCACATCGCATCGCTACGTTGATCTACGACACGCAGTTGTGGTTTGTCGGTCGGGGAGGAACACCGGGCGTATACGTGATGCTCGATGGCGTCTGCCTTCTTCGTTTTGTAAATGTATATTTTCTTAATGCCTAAACTGCCGCAGCCGCCTGCCCGCGCCACACTCCCCGCTGGGGGTTAATTGTGGCACGTCGCACCGAAACACTGTCTCAAATGTAGAAACGTGCCATTTTCACACACGTCCTACAAGCTGAAGATTTAGAGATCCTCATCAGCATTGGGCATCATTTGTATGCCATTCACGGGCAGGTCTGGCCGGGAGCAGGAGCAAGAGCAGGAGCAGCTGCAGCCGTTTGTCTGGCCAGCACAGATGGCAACAGATTCGCAGAGCAGGTTCAATTTGTCGCTAAAAAGTTGGCTTTTGCCAGCTTACCACTCCCATCTCTCTCGCTCTCTCTCTCTGCATACAGCCTATTATCATCATTTGCTAATCAAGCAAACAAAACTGCAATTTATAAGAGTAAAAGAAATATCAACAGGGTAGAAAACGAGATGATAAAAAGTGGAAATACTACAGACAAAATGCATTTTAATTGGCTGACGTTTCCGAGATACGAATATACTCGCAACGCAATGCTGGGCATTCGCCCGGCCCATCCAGCATCCAGACATCCAGACATCTCCGTCCGATAAAGAATTTAAACTGATGCACATTTTGTTAACAGCTTTATAAAGCATATGGCTTTTAGTTACCATTGCCAGTGCCAGTGCCAATGCCATTTGCCGACTTCAATAAAACTGATAAGCAACACAGAAACACACAAAGTGAATGAGGCGAGCCGCCGTCGCGTCCTCTGAGTCATGCATTTCAGCAGCTCCAATCGGACAATCCAGTTCCCAGAGCTACAGAGCTCCAGCGATCCTGCGTATTTCACGCGATGCGATAGCAATGCAATTGATTCGCTTATAAAATTTATCGATCTGTGCTGAGTTTGTGCCCCGCTCCCCATGCGAACTCGAAAGACGTTCCGTTTGCTTATCAGACCCAAAGTGTTGGGGCTTTCGAGATAAAAGTCGGCATTGGCAAACTTTAAATTTCATTTTGATTTTCATAACTTGAACAGGCCACAGACTGCTCTGCTGCTGCAGTCCTTTCTCACGCTCGCGAGTTCTATTGAAATGCCATAAAAAGATTGAGGCTTTAATAGGCGCCGCCAGAGTAGACCCGAAACTCTTTCGCTTCTGGCTTGGCCTTTGGAGTCTGTCAAACGGTAGCCCATGCATAAATCAAGGATTTTTGTGTAGTTCGCTGAAGGCATAAACCGAACAATATATCTACACACAGACATGACCAATAGCCATAGACTTCAGCCAGTAAAACAATGTTTCCCAAATACGTAGCAAGAGATGCAGATACAGGCAGGCAGGCGGACAGACAGAGATTGAAGCATTTCAGACTGGGTAGATAACTTTGCTGGAGACATTCCTCAGCAGCAGTCCGGGGGAGCGGGGCGACCACAGCAACAGCTAGGAATGTCTTTGATCCAATCCGACTAAACAGGGTGACCTGGCAGCGGGCTGAGACTCGAAATACTTCATCTCCATGCCTCCCCAAAAAGGAGTCTCCAAGTAATTAAATCAAATTATCGCATTCCTTGAGCAGATTTATATTTCCAGCGAAAGTCAAAATGATTCACTCGCAGAAAGATCTTTGAATTTAAATTTCAAGAATGATCTTTCAGTCTCCATAATAATTATTTGAAAAGTGTAACAATAAACTGGCAAGTGTGTAGTGCATTTATTTCCTATTTATAAATTATGTTTGCTGTGCAGGAACATGGCTGATGCGCTGCTGAAGAGACTGGCAAAGTAGCAGCGGTTCGGGCTGCGCATACGCCGGGATACGCTGGAGGACACTTGAACGTGTGAAATCCTGGCTGTGGCATGCAGCTTGTGTGTGGATGCACCCAATTAAGTTGCAACTGCAGTGGCCTGGGGCAGCAAGAGGCGTGGCAGCTTGACAATTCATTTGCATTTCAAACGGCCAAATTGTGGTGCACCAACACCTGACTCGTGCTCTGGTGTGTGTCCGTGTGTGTGTCTGCGCCTCATTATGCGTTGCAATTATGACGTTGCAACTACAAGGAGGTGGATGACGATGACGATGCCAACGAATTGCAGGCTGCACTTCAACTGCAGCTTCAGCCACAGCCTGCATTTTAACCGTCTCGAGTTGACTGCAACGTTCGCTCGCTCGTTCGTTGCATCTCTGCTTGCAACGTACGTTCACTGCGCCGTTGTCAACAAGCAGTGCAAAAAGTATGTTGACAACCCCATGCAACAACAGCAACAACAACAACAACAAGAACAAGAGGAACACGAGTAACGAGATTAACAAGCTGCAACTACTAGGCGAGGCAACCAGTCAGGCAGGCAGCAATGCAGGCAGCCAGGCGGCAGTCCGGTGCGGACAGACATCGCACTGCTCCGCCTGACTGACTGCGCACCGAGTACACCGAGAGCTGAGGCCCAGGACTGAGACACGGATTGACAGCGGCCCAGGCGCATTATAAAACTTGAGTACCAGGGACCACCCTGCAATTGAAATCAGCTCAATTGTGTGTAGGGGCCCCCATGGTACCCCCACCACGAGTAGTGGTGCAAGTACAGAAGGGGGGCACCAGCCAGAGTCACAGTCCAATCATCTACTGCGGATTGAGTAGTCTACTGAGGAAGCCTTTGGCACTCTTTTTTGTTCGCTTTTCAGCGTTCCAAAATGGCGATTTGCTAACGCGTAGGTTGCCATTTTTTGTTTGGATTGTGGTAAGTTTTTTTGTTAACAGATTTTGCGAGAGAGAGAATTTGCGGAGAATTCATAAATCCATTCAAAAAAGAATTTGATATAAATCTATCTGCCTGATTTCTATTAAATTGCCATATTGTAAATATTATATCTAATTTCGGAATAGATCAATGGATATAATTGATAAATAAACCCATATTTAATGCAGTGATAATTCATAGAAATATTTCATAATTATTTTTCTCCGTGTTCTTGATGGCTCGGTATTCTTGATGGTTTCTACACAGGTAACTGCTGGCCTAAATTTCCCGAAGCCCTTCTTCTAGTTCCCATCCCAGTTGCACATCAACCAATTGTTCATTTACTCTGCCCCAAATGCCCATTCTATGACGGAGAATCATGTGTGAAGGTGCAGACAGTCTGCGCGCCACCATGACCGCAACAATCTCATGCTAATCAAGTACAATTAGGTAAGCTTAATTCCCTAAACCTATCACTAGATCAATATTAATTATGCCAACACCTAGCACTGACAGCTGCTTCTCTCTGTTTCGCCTTCAGCCTACGGACGGAGCAGCATCAGCGGCAGCCCCCTCAGCAATTGATTAATTTGTTGTCGCTGCAACAGCAACATTAACCCCTAGTCGCTGATTGTTGCTGCTGTTGGTGGAGCATGTCGTTTAATTAATTAACTCGCCACCAAACCAAGAGCAACAGCAGCAGCAACACACAATATAACATGGGGTAATGAGCTTGAAGCTTGAAGTTAATTTGTTGACAGGCTATTTACACTCGTGAGTTTTGCTTTACATACTCGTAAATTGTAAGTTGTGATGGATTCGGTCTTAGATGGGACGTGTGAGAGCTGCTCTATCTTCCAGCTACTTCGTACTTACCAGCGTGTGCAGCAGGCCAAGATAATCACAACAATTAAATGCAAATTGCAATGACGCGTTGCGGCTTGTGTGCCAACCACGATGGTGTTGCTTGTGTTGCTGCTGTTGGTATTTCCTGCTTCTTGCTGCTGCTGCTGCTGCGGCTGCTGCTTCTGGTGGTGGCCTTTGATTGTTGCTTCTTGCCACACAGTCATCGCTCGGCTTTGATTTGCATAAATTTTCATACAATTGTAGCCAAATGTTTAGTTGTACAACATTTTTGTTAATCAATTTATCACTGCTCTCAATTGTTGTCGCTGCTCGGCTTGCTGTTGCTGGGTCGGCTGATGTATTCGTTTGCTGAGGCCAGGCATCAGGAAACATTTTGTTGAGCACATTTGAATTATCTTGAACAATTTCCTTATGGATTTTTATCTCTTAGATTGTTTACATTTTCAATATTTTTTTATGTAATTTTTGGAAATGACTGGATATTGATTTTCTGCGGGGAGTTGAAAGAAAGTTTTTATGAATATTAGAAATTTATTTGAAAATTCTTTGTTGTATTTTAAGACAGGTATTGTGTTCAAAGTTCTCAACGAGATGGTAAATATTGCACAGTTATTACTCCTTTTTTTATTTACGGAAAATGTTCCATCGAACTTGTTCTTCTTTTCTGAGTTGCTAATCCTTACACAGTTTTAAATATTTACTAGATTGAATTCACTTAAATTAGCTTTATGAACACACATTCTCCAGAGGGTTTTTCTTCCTTTTATTTTTGCACACGTTTTGCCACAGTTTTCATGGTTTTTCACCTCCTCTTCATAAACCTTTTTAGATTGACCATTCACCGATATATTTTGTTTTTGCCTTTGCCTTTGCCACTGGCTCTCTGGGCTTTCAACTTTGAGCTCCGCTCTCCGGCTACTGGCTGGCTTGCCAAATCTTTTTCTCGTAATCTTTGTCGTTACATTCGTTATTTTTCCTCTTTTTCCTCTTTTTTGTGTTTTGTATTTTTTTCACTTACAATCGTTTTCTGGTGGGTAACGAGAGGAGACTGGGCTTGTACGATTGGCCTGTAATACAAGTTTTGGATTCTTGTTGGTTTTGCTTCATTTCATAGTTTTTTTCCCCCCCTCTATCAACCCCTCTTATTGTTGTCCGCTGCTGCTTCTGTGTGGTTTGCTTTCGGGGTTCGATTCGATTTGTGGTTTTTGTTGGGAAAGTTATTTCTTGGTGTGTGGCAAATGGCCAGCGAATGGCGGCTATTATTTTTATTTGATTGGATTTCGAGTTGTTGTTGATTTAGTTAGGCAGAAAAATTGTTTACACTTGGCAGAATTTAAACGCCTTTAAATGTTCCTCTGCATTTTGCAAATGGCTTTGGAAATCTTTTGATTTAAAGTGGTTTAATGAAATTAGGAACTTTTCGTATGAAAATTATCTCATCAGATTAGTTTTTTAAGCTTTAGCCTAACTGTAAATTAAGTTTACTTATATAAGTTTAACCTTTTTAAGTTTTTAAATAAGTTTCTAGTACATTATTTCCTTTAAAGATCTCTTTTTGGTTTTGATTCAAAGTTGGTGGATACAAGTGACAAATTTAAATAATGTTCAAGGTTTGTTTAATGCTCTAACAACAGATTAAATTAACAAAAACTTATTCACCGTATCTAGAAATGTTTCAATTTTTAAATTGAAAATTTCTTTTAATATTTCGTTGATTTTGTAGTGTAAAATATTTAGATTTTCTTTGGTTTTATGTAAATTCGTTATGTATTTTTCGTTAGTTGCAATTATTGAATAATTATTGTTTTATGTGGATATATTTCCCTAGCTCGGAAGACACAGGACACGAACGTCCTGTCAGGGATGCGAGTCGCGCGACTATGAAACGAGCGTTGAGCCATCCAGCCTCTAAATGCAAATTAAATTTGAAATATTTGAAACAGAAGCAGGCTGGCTTCGTTGTTATCGGCATCGACATCGTCCACGTTCACGTCGTCGCACTCGTTATGCTCGTCCTCGGCATCGTCCTGTGTGCATTTTGCTTCGGCTGGGATTTACGAACGGATGTGGCACGGGGGTATGGCTGGAGATGGCTGATGGGGATGCGTGCGCGTGTCTTTGTTTGGGGTGAATGTGATTTTTATACGTGTCCTGGCTGCTCAGCGACTGGCTGGCGAAAGTAGAAGCACATCAAAGGATAGACACACCTTTACACGTACATTTGCCCACGGATATATTGAGGCAGGGCTGCTCATTCTTGTGCATTTATCGCATGCGAGAGTATTTCCTCCATGTTTGGTCCAATTAACACATTGGAATAGTCATGCCTGGGATCAGGATATGTTGGTGTTGCATTTCATTGATTCAAGATTTAATCTTTGAGCTTGACACCTGTCCTGGTGCCCTTTAAAGGCTGATTAAGCAGCTCCCTGTTGCCCACATCCCGGCGCGGGGTGTTTGCCACTCTCCACGTGTTGTTCTCTGTTGTTCTTGTGGCAAGGACACACGACCGAGTGCCACTTCTGCTGAACATCAAAGGGTTAACACACAACAAAAGTGAAACTGGTGCACTGCCTCGCCCCCTCCTGGCTCTGCCACTCTCGCTCTGTCTCTCTCTCACTTCCTTCCTTCCCATTGTTGTGCTCTCAAGGACTCCAATTATTGCAATTTCGTTCCTTTGTTGTTGGAGTCTTTTTTTCTGTTGCTGTTTTGTTGTTGTATGCCTTTGAAATATGCTAATTTCTATATGGGCTGGCGGCATGAAACAAAGGCCAGGGCAATTGATTCACGTCTGGTTCCTTAGTTAGTTCAAGGACCAGTCGCAGCATCAGGATGGTGGGGGAGAGAGAAGTATCTCAAAATATGGGTCGTTTAGGCTGTCAGTTTTTCTTTTATTTTCCATTTGACTCTGTGTGTGTGTGTGTGAACTTAACCCTCTTTGACTTTTCCTTTGCCACTTGTTACACTTCAAAGGATTCACGCGAGCGGCCACACACTTGTTGCCAGCTGTTCTACGAGGCAGTTGCACTGCCAATATGTTGTGCATTAGGATTGAGAAGTTATCTTTAAAGAGTGCAGAGTAGATAGCAGTGGAAATAAGTTAAACTTAAAACTGGTAGCAGCTTCTCTTGTCTTCATGTCAAATTACCCACTTGAAGTTCATTTTCTGGCAACTCCTGATGCACTCCACTGTAGTGTACATTAATTTCAGCATACTTGTGTACAATGTTAATGTTTAAGCTCATTAAAAATTATCCGTTAACAGCTCGATGCAATGCAACTGTCACATACACACTCCCAGTGCGGAGTGTGGAGACTCCCCACTCTTCACTTCAAACCACAAAGAAAACCACAAAAAAAAACAGTGAAGAAAAAAACCAAAGAACGAGCATTTGACCATCTCATCTACCGCATACAGTTGCCATGAATCACCATCACCTGGCTGGCTGGCGGTGGCTTCATCCACAGCTACAGCCAACAGTCTGTGCCTGTGCCTGTGCCTGTGCCTCGGGGTCTGAGGTCTGGCTGAACATCCATCAATGTGCCGTTGACATTTCCTTGGACCGTTGACAAGAATTGTCACAATAAACAATACAACCACGACGACGGAACGACAACAAGAGCAGCCCGAAACAATGATGGCAATGAGAGGAGAGGACACGTGACGCGATGAGATGAGATGAGATGAGATCAGCGGCAGGGCAGCCAGCAGTCCGTCCAGATCTGGGGCAGGAGCCGGAGCAGGGGCGAATCAGCATGATGATTAGTTCGGTAAGTGGCAGCGCTTCGCTTCTTTTAAGGACTGGAAAGGGGCATCAGGAGAGCGCATAAATTACCGAAAGGATTAGCCAACCAGACTCAGACAGCTGACAGGGGAAGGGAGTACACGGGCAGTGCGAAGGCAGTACTGGTACCCCTTTAGTAGAATTGTAGAGGGTAGAATTGTTGTTGTTGCTGTTGGCCAAATATTCAGTGAACTGTAAAGGGATTCCTGCGGAACGGAAAGGGGTAGGAAGTGCCGGGGGTAAGCCTGGGGTAAGCATCATGTTAAAATTAAAATCAGATCAATTTCACAGATATTAACAGGGATAACTGTATGTACTTTTGGGACACGACCATAGTCAGGCGCAAGTGTTGATGGAATACGAGTACCATTGTCATCAAGGGGTTGCTTTTGTTATTAAATTTTCATGCTGGAAGCGATATTACAATGGGAATACTCTGACAATGTCAACTAATTGTGATTGTTTATGTTGTTTATGCAGCTAAATGTGAGTTTTATTTTGATATATAAACTTAGAATATAAAGTAATTTATTTAATGTTAAGAGTACTCAAAAGTCGACGCATTTGTAATTTAATTACTAATATTCTTCCTTATCTTGTTGTGGCCATTAGTCCTAAATTGAGGGGCTGAAATCTCTAATAATTCCTAATACCTAAAAAACAGTATCTAGATTGTGCAAAGATAATCTCTCTCACTCTCTCTATCTATCTCTGCCGCGGCTGCAGGTGTGCCCTCGCCAAAGTTCAGAGCAATTTACACTCATTAAAAAGGAAAAATCCATGAAAAATTCATTTTAATGATGTTGCCCACGGTTACACCGTAGGACCCCGTAATTGAGTTAATTTTCGTTTGAATTTCATTATTTTTAATGGCTGATTTTTGTTGTTTAATTAACTCGAAACGAAATGACCGAAATGTACGTCCATAAAGCCCGACAAACATCTCGCAAAATGACACAAATTTTCGCATCAAAGCAAATATTTCTCGGCGAAGTAAGAAATAATCATAAAAATTAAGCGAAAATTAATCGAAGTAATTTCGAGAGCAGCTTCTGCTTCAGCAGCTACTCTCCACTCACCTCTTCGGTCGCTTCCATCCCCTCCCGTGGCACTCCCCTAGCGAAGTCCGGCGACATAGCGAACATAACATGAGGCATTCCAGGGGCCAAAGTGGCACTGGGTAAAAAGGGTTTGGGTTTGGGTTTGGGTTTGTCGATTTTGGTTTTGGTTTTGGTTTTGGGTTCGAGTCGGGGTCCGGTCGGTGTGTGTATGGGAAAAATTCCGCTGGCCTCCAATCAGTGCACACAGTTTGCATTGCTCTGACATGAAAAAGAAATCAGTGCAGGGCCACGGCCTCACAGTGCCCCAGCACCAGCCTCAGCTCCATTCTCCTCATACTTCTCTCTTTCTGCTCTCTGCTGGATCGCTGGACGACATACAATTTTCGGTTGCAGATGTGTGGGAAAATTTTTCAATTTTAATTGCACGTTGCGTTGCGTTGTCGTCCCAAAATTTAAACAGTCGATATCCCAGGGCCCACCTACAAAATCTGATCCCATCCCAACCTATGCCGGAGAGGGGGAGAGATAGAGAGGGAGTGAGAGCCAATGGGGTGGCA